CTATTGGAAGGTGGGGTACAGAGTGTATGTGAGCTTAAGTCTTACCTGCCTTAACAGTACATCAGTGGACAACATTTAAAATGGATAAAACTAGTCCCCAGTGCTAGAAGATACGATGTAAATACCGGAAGAAATAAGTGTAAAGGATGGCCCTGGGCAAGGGACTGGCACAGGACACTGGGGAGGGGAGGCGGGGTTTTCTGTTTCATCTTTCAGTCTGCATACACGGGAATTAAAAAGACCTTGGGTGACGATTCCTGCTTGTCAGTCCACTTCTGTCACCTCTCGGCTGGTGGTTGAGACCCAAGGCCACAGCTTGAATGTGTCTTAGGACTCTCTGTTGGCTTCAGCTCCTGTCATTGGCCCATAGCGGGTTTTAAGACATTCCTTCTGTGAATGTCCCTCTTTTGCCAGAGACAGTCCTGGACCCAGGAGCAACAGGAAGGAGGCAGGTTTTTGACTTGGAACTTTCAGGGCTGCTGTTTTGCAGTCATATTGTGGTAGGTTGTATGTTGTCTGTGTGGGTATAAAATGGAAACACAAAGGCACTCGTGCTGGTGTTTGAAACTGTGGGCATGTCCACTAGCAAGTTTCCAGCCCCAGTCAGTGACTCAGCAAGCAAGGCGGCCCTGGCCCGGCCAAGAGGGAGAGGAATCAGTGTGAAGAACGTGCACAAGGCTAGGCGCGGTGGCTCACGCCTGTAGTCCCAGCACTTTGGAGGCTCAGGCGGGAGGATCGCTTGAGTCCGGGGATTTGAGACCAGCCTGAGCAACATAGTGAGACCCTGTCCCTAAAAAAACTAAAAAAACTAAAAATTAGCTGGGTGATGTGCACCTGTAGTCCTAGCTACTCAGGAGGCTTAGGCAAGAGGATGGCTTGAGCGCAGGAGTTGCAGGCTACAGTGAGCTATGATGATGCCACTGCACTCTAACCTGGGTGACAGAGTGAAACTCTGTCTCAAAAAAAAAAAAAGAGCAATGGCGATACCATTAGAAATTTTATATTTATGGTATTCTGGTTTTAGAAATTATGTTTTGATATACGAGTATTATTAGACTTAACAACATTGGGTTTTTGACCACAGTTCCAGACTTGTTTTTTATAAAGTAGGAAAGTGACGTGTGTTCTGACAACTCAGAGGGCTAAAGAGGCTTGATCATCTTGCCCTCGCCTATATTTGGAGGAGTTACAAGCTCTTCTGGACCCTAAAGCCCTCTGTGGGCAGGGTTTAAATTTCTAGAAATACAAGTTAGAATCACTCACATTTTGTCCTTTATTTGCAACTAATCCTCCTTTTTGGCCAAATGCTGTTAGGAAGCAAGCCAGTTTCCTTGTTGGACATAAGGCTCCCCCGCACCCCCGGCTCTCACTGTGTGGTCCCAGAGGCAGGAGGGGAGGCGCACAGGCAGGGGGGCCTGAGACAGAGCAGATGTGGCTTCAGGAGCTGCAGCTACGAGAGCAAGAGGTGAGGAGGCTCAGGTGGGGTGGCCCTGGAGGAGGAGGCGGCCCCCCTGCTCTTACGTTCCACTTCTGACCTGGAGCAAGTCTTCTGGCACTTCTGAGCCTGCTTTTCTCGCCTGTAGAACACTTCCCTTTTCCTCGGGTTTTCAGTCCCAAGTCAGCCATGCCATCCCCTCCCTGCTTCAGGTCTACTTCCGTGGGCTCCCATTCCGTCTTCACAGCCAGGGCTGCTGTGAAGTCTTGGTGAGGACATCTAAAGAGAGAAGAGCTGTTTTTCTAAAGCACCAAAGAACAGCCTGACTGTGGGGCCTCAGGGACCATTCCTCTTCTGCTTGTCTAGATGTCAGGGGTGGGCTCGGGGTTGGGTTATGCACTTGAACTTGTCCCCATCCCAATCCTGGGGATCAAGTGCTTCCCTCTCCAGTTGCTGGTGGAAGAGGAGGGTGTGGCCTCTGCTAAGGAGAATGGGATCTTTTGCTGTTTTGTTCCCGGCCGCGTTCCCCATGCCTGGGAGAGTGCCTGGTACAGGGAGAGGAAGAGGCAAAGCTGCTTTGGGGGTCTGTGTCCTGGACAGTGCTCCGGGGCTGGCTGCACAGGGGTGGGCCCAGTGGGCAGAGCTGGGCCTGCCCTCAGGGAGAAGAGGAAGATTCTTTACTGTCAGAGGTGGTCCTGAGATGTCCTGAGGGTGCTAATAACCCTGTGCGCTGCCCACTTCCCACGCACTCCCCTGGGTCACTCAGGGTCCCTGTCTGTCCATCATCAGCATCATCCCATTGGCCAAGCCCTTCTCCTTCTTGCTGGCAAAGGCCTGTGTCTGTGCTGGCGGGTTTCCATGGTGGGCACAAACGGCGTTGAGTAGATGAGCGGGTGAGGGGTGAATGTGGGCGTTTGGGTATGAAGAGAGGTGACAGACAGGAGAAGGGCTCACAGTCGCCACCTGAGCCAGAGAAGCCTGCTCAGCACAGACTAGCTGCCTGTACTACCATTTGGCCTTCTGGTTACTTTCCTGAACTATTTCTGCCGGTGCCCCACCCCAGCCTGCAGATGGCTTCTCTGAAACTGTCAATGTGTGCCCAGCCTGGCCTCTGGTGCCCATGTGACCGAGTGGCAGCTCTGTCTGTTACCTTTTCCCTCCCTCCCTCCCTCTGCCCTAGATTCATCTGGTCGCTCTGTGAGCAGTTTCACCAGGTGCTGTGCTTGGTTTGGGGACGAGGCCAAGGTACAAAGTGGAGCTGCAGGTCTTGCCCGTTGAGCAGACAGAGGGAGGTGTGGAATTTAGGGTCAGTGACATGTGCTCTAGCCACACCCAGGCTTCGCTATGCAAGTTATTTAATGCACCCTTTCGTAGAACGAAAAAAAATGCAAACCACCTCAAACTTGTCCCAGATGTGCCTGCCTTTGCCTCTGGGGAAACTCTTCTCCTCCCCCACCTCCCCAGCCTAAGTGCAGCCACCTCAGAAGTCCAGGTGGCTCTTCCCTTCTGCAGCAAATGCTGACGCCTGTCCCAGCAACCCTCCCCTGCCTGCCTCCCTGTGAGGGTCTTGTGCTGTGGGCTGCCCTGCTTCAGAGCAGCGGGTGAGTCCTCCGGAGCATCGGATGCTGCAGGTGGCCCAGCCCAGGACACGGGGTGGGGGCCCTCCAGTCCTAGAGAGCTGATCGTCCCCCAGGGCTAGGTGTTTGCAGCGTCAGGCCTGTCTTGGTGTTAGGTTCCTGTCCCAGACTGGCAGCGACATCTGAGATCATTATATTGCATTTTGGGGTGTTGAGGGTACCTCCAAAGGCACCTGCACTGAAAACACACAGTGAGGCCTTGAAGATGCTTCTCCCTTGGAGGGCCTCAGTTTGTGTTGAAGATATCTCAGACGCTGGTAGCATATTCTGTATTTCAGAGTGATTCTCAGTCTCACAGCAACTGGTCCCTGTCGCGTGCCCCAGAGAAGCTATGGAAATACTCTTAGTGACTATTTTGTGGGTGAAGGAAGCAAAGCATCTAGGGTCTTGACTTGCCCAGGGTCTCAGAAAGACATGATGAAGAACACTCACAAATTTTTGTGCAAGTTATTTACTGCAGCCTTTCGTAGAATGAAAAAAAATGCAAACAACCTAAACTTCAAAGCATAGGGATTCTGGTATTGAAAGAAATCGATTCCCAGAATACTGTGCAGCCATGGAAAGTAAGGTTTTAAGCCTATTTAAGAAATGAAAGGCTGTTTATAGCCTTAAGCTTACAGAGCAAGTCATAAAATAGAGTATTTGATGTGATCCCAATATATTTAAGGAATAAATATGTTTTACACAAAGTAGAAAAAGAGATGGGAGGGGCAGACCCTCATATAGAAAGGGTTTGTTGCCTTTATTGTTTGTTGTCTTTTCAAACTTCTGTATTGCTCAGATGTTTCACATTGGATATTTTATAATGAGAAAAACATGCAGCCAATTTATTAAATAAAGACCACGTCAGAATCCATGACGCTAGCAGAACCAGCTGCCGGAGGAGCTTGTCAGGTGGGGCGGATTGCCAACCTCGGGGTCAGGGGAGGAGGCTCTTTAAGAGGCCACCCCCCTGCCGGAGTCTCTGCCTCATGCTGGCCTGAGGGAGCTGAGGCTCCCCCCACCCACCCACCCATCTGTGGCCAGAGTGCGCCTGTGGCAGGTGTCTGTGTGCAGCCACGCAAACCAAGTTTGTCACCCCGTCTGCCCTGACCTTGCCACAGGTGCTCATCACCGTGCATCAGGGTACACCTGTGCAGGCGGAGCGGCAGGTGGGCGGGCCCACGAGGGGCACTACCTGTGCCTCTCTCTTGCTCCTTGGCCTTGAGTAAACCACCTCCCTCCTCTGCGTTAGTCTTTACCTGCAGAGGACTCCAGAGAGTGTGGAGGAACCAACCTGCAGATTAATAGATCAGTATACATAAAACTAGACTCCCCCCCCCCCTTCAGCTTCCTGCTCACACCTTCCAACCATGCACTGAGGCCCGCTGCACACCAGGGCCTGCGCTGAGGCCCTTGCGGCCTTGGGGGACGGGCAGACAGGTGGATGTGAGGTGGCTCAGGTCCCGAGACGAGCACTGCGGAGGAGGGTCGTGCACATGGGTCCCCCTTTTACCAACAGGGGAGGCTCCCAGGCCAGCAGGGGTGGGGGAGGGGCAGCCTGGGCTCTGGAGAGAGCTCCCTTGCCCGGCATTGCGCATCAAGCAGCACTGGAGCTACCGAGGGATTTGCAGCAGGAACGGCTGACCGTTGGCCGTGCTTGCAATAACCTGTTGGAAAATGCAATGATAAAGACCCCATTTCACAACAGTAATTATAAAAAGACTGCCAAGGCATAATGTTAACAAGGACACGTGACCCATGTGACGTGAACAACAGTGCTCTGCAGAGTTCTACGGAAAAGCCCAAGTGACTGGACTGTGTGTTGCCAGGCCCGCCCCCCAGCCCTGCCCAGCCTGACCCGTGCTGCCCCTGAGCTTGGCACTGGCTGGAGGGCCACGCTCGGCTGCGCGAGCGGGACTCACAGCGCACGTCTCCTTTGCTTTCAGAAGTGACCGGAGAGGTGCATCCTTACCATGGGAAGGAGGCCGTGGATCCGCGGCAGGGGCGGGCAAGAGGAGGTGACCCCACGCACTTCCACGCGGTGAACGTGGCGCAGCCGGTCCGCTTCAGCAGTAAGTTGCAGACCTGCCCCGACTGGGACGCCCTCGAGCACCCGGCCTGACTGCGCCCTGGCTCTCGGTGCCGCTGTGTGTGAGGGATTGGTTTCCCAGACAGCCCTTGGAGGGAGTTGGGGAATGAGCGAGGCTGCGCATTGACCTGCCCAAGGCCACCCGGCGCCTGACTTGAGCCCGGGGGAGTCACTCAGGCGGCTTGTTTTCACAAAGTGGCAGCCTTTGAGGGCCCTTGGCGATGGTGTAGTTGTATGGTTCCCTTTATAGATGGAGAAACCGGCTCTGCAAGATGAGATTAGGTACAGCTGGTGGGTTGGGAAGGCTCTACTAACGTTTTTTTTTTTTTTAATTTTTTTTAAGGCAATTGGTTATTTAATGAATTACCTATGACATTAAAATTTTATTTTGGTTTTCTTTTTTCTATTCAAGAATTTTGAGGACAAGATGTTAAAATTGTATAGGTACATAACAAGATCAAGGGAGGCTGAGGGGAGGAAAAGCCACGGCTGAAGCTGCCCGTCCCAGGCAGACCTGCGCAGGTGTGGTGCTCTTGGGTACGCTGGGAACCCCCCACCCCAGGACAGGCAGAACTGACACCTGACATGTCTGCTGCCGTGCCCGGGGTCTGTCTGCTGTGCTGGTGCTCAGCCCCCAGCCTCCCAGCAATAGGGAGCACCTCAGCCTGTGCCCACTGCTGGCAGCCGAGCTGCAGGGGTCTCCGCCCGCGCACGTCACTGTCACTGGCGAGTTCCTGGGACGTCCCCAGCGCTCTTCACAGCCCCTGCCCCTCTTGGAGCCTCAGTTCTCTGTCTGCCGAGGTCCAAGCGAGCTGCGGGTGGTGTGGGCCAGCTGTCCTCTGCGCCTGGCTTTGCCACGCAGTAGCTGGGAAGCCGCAGGGATCCTGCAGTCGACGGGTGGTGCGCATACTTGGCGAGTGAGGAAGCTGAGGCTGAGAGGTCACCCAGCTGGAAGGGGTGGCTCCAGGGCACAACCCTGTGGGGTCCTCAGCTCCATGTTCTTTCTTCCCATCGCTTGTCTGTTTAATTTCGAGCAGGTAATAATCCCACGCAGTTCAGAACACAGAAAGATGCATCCATAAAAAGGAGTGCTTTCTTCCTCCAGTGTCCCCGGCCAACTGGTTTCCCTCCCCAGAGGGTTTCCTCCCGGCCCGGGCGAGATGGGAAGCCTGGCCCTGGTGCTGGCGACCAGCTGCTCGGGCTGTCCCTCCTCACCTCTCCATGGGACAGAATGGAGCCACCTGCCAGGCACGTGGTCATGGTGACCACGTCGATGTGGGCACTCAGGAAACACGCGGCGACTGTGCTGCGCCGCACCTTCTCTCCCAGAGCTGGTTCCTTGTCTGCACCTGAGGAGCTTTCCTGCGCACTCAGGGCCACAGGTCTCCATGGCGGGCGAGTAGCGCCGTCCAGCTTGCAGCCAGCGCACGCAGTGCCTTGGCCCTGCCTCCAGCTCTGCCAGAGCTGCCACTTCCTCTCCCATAGTCTGTATGCCTTTGTTCAGAAGTCTCACACACACACACACACACACACACACACACGTGCTCTAAATAATAAAAACGTGAGCGTAAGTCTCCAAGAAATTTTACTAGTTCCACAGAATGCATTAAAAAATGCATTGTTTTAAACAACTGGCTTTGCTAAAAATTGTTACTTTTCTTCAGTGTACTAATAGGAGGTATCCAGCATTTGAAGGTTGTAGATTCTATAAAACAGGTCACTAATGTTTCTTAAGGTAAGCTGTAAATTACCAGGCCTTCCCCGGCCCGAGGGGCAAGTTGAAAGGTCAAGAAAGGAGGAGACACTGGCTGGACGCAGGGAGGCGGAGGCTCGGGCTCCTGCTGGTCCTCAGCTTTGCGGCTGGGGCAGCGCCCAGGCCTCCTTTTCTCCCCCGTGGAGGGCGGGGGCCGGTCACACAGGCTCAGGGCCCTGCCAGCTGCGGTCTGCTGAACTGCTGTTTAGGGCAGAGCTGGCAGGAGAGGCCGGGAGGGCCGGGTGTCGGGGCAGCGCCCCTCAGCAGGCGCATGGGGAGCCGCGCTGCCTTGTCAACCACACTCACCCAGAGAACGGTGCCTGCTTCACAGGGATTCATTCAGCAGCCGTACCTTAGCGTTGAGTAGATTAAAAGGCCTTATAGAAATGGGAAGAATCGCTGAATTTACTTGGCTCTTAGGTCGAGTGTACTCTGTAGAGAAACTGGAGCATTTCTGCAGAGCCTGTGGTCTCGCGTGCAGGAGCTGGTCTCCTTGACCCCCGGGCTCCCGTTCGTCTTCGCTGCTTTCTGAGGCATGCCTGGCCCTGACGCAGCACACGTAATTTCGTTTTGGAGTCGGATCCTAATTTGGGGGACGACGCCCCTTCTGTGCTTCATGTTTCCTAGGGAAGTGCCCGACAGGGTGGCACCACTACGAAGGCACGGCCAGCTGCTACAGGGTCTACCTGAGCGGGGAGAACTACTGGGACGCCGCGCAGACCTGCCAGCGCCTGAACGGCTCCCTCGCCACTTTCTCCACCGACCAGGAGCTGCGCTTTGTCCTGGCCCAGGAATGGGACCAGCCCGAGCGGAGCTTCGGTTGGAAGGACCAGCGCAAGTGAGTCCTGGGTCAGGGTCTGAGGACCACCGAGCTTCTGGCCTCTGGCCACCCAGTAGCACTCCGAGGGCGGCCACCCCCGCCCACTGGGAGCGCTTGGAGATCCAGGGCTTGGAGTGTGCAAGGAGATGGGTGGGAGGCAGGGGTGGCCTCTGCCGCAACATCGTGGGGCTGTGGACTGTGTGCTCGCGGGGTGTGTGCCAGGATTTGGGCCCAGGCAGTCTGGCCCCAGAGCCTGGCCCTTGACCTGCAGGCTCAGCCTTACTGAGACGGGACAGTGGAAAGGGGACCTGACTGCTGCACACCAGACCCAGTGTTTTGTTTTTGGTTTTTTTGAGACAGAGTCTCACTCTGTCGCCCAGGCTACTGTGCCATGGCGTCATCACAGTTCACTACAACCTCACATTCCTGAGCTCAAGTGATCTCCTGCCTCAGCCTCCCGAGTAGCTGGGACTATAGGCACGCACCACCACGCCTGGCTAATTTTTTCGATTTTTAGTTGTCCAGCTAGTTTTTTTTTTATGTTTTTAGTAGAGACAGGGTCTCACTCTTGCTCAGGCTGGTCTCGAACTCCTGAGCTCAAGCAATCCTCTTGCCTCAACTTCCCAGAACACTAGGACTGCAGGCGTGAGCCACCACGCCCGGCCTTCACACCCAGTGCTGTGGGGGTTTCTGTGTAGGGGAGGCTGTGCGAGGCCTGTGGCGTGCCACCTCTGGAGGTTGCCTCAGTGCGACAGCCAGTTGTTGTCTCCTTTTCTGGAGGGGAAGGTAGCCCTGTGGGGCAGTGAGCTGCAGGGCCCAGGGACGGCCGGTGCACTCTGCTGGTAGCCCACCACCCCCTACAATGGCACAGGTTGCCACACTGCCATGGGAGCACAGAGCCCCGAGGCATGTGGGCAGAGGGCCTTCATCTCAAGACCTGAGCCTGAGCTGGGGTTTGGCTCTGCAGTTACGCCTTGTGTGACTTGGCAAATCACAAGATGGAGCTATCTTTCCTTCTGCAGCAAAAAAGGGAGAGAAATGACTCTTAGCTCACAGGTTATTGTACTGACCCCATGAGCTCTGCCCATGAGTCCGGCAGAGAAGCGTGAGGGCACAGCCCAGCAGGTGGGGATGCCCCACCTCCCAGGATGGCCGCGTTGCACGGCGCAGGCTGAGGGCGGAGCAGCACCATGCCAGGCGGACCTGCTGACGAGCATCTCTGGGCTTGGGGCTGGAAAGCCAGGGTGAGGGGCACAGACTCGGCAGGTGCCTGTGGCAGTCGGCCGGATCCGTGTGCAGGTCCCCGCAGTGCTGGGCCGTGTGCGCTTGGGAACACACTGCAGGCCTGAGGTTTTTCACCACCGTGGTAGTGTATGTTCACGGGGGGTTGTTTCTTTACTGAAGTGTAACTCACATACCATAAAACACACCCCATCAGAATGCACTATATGCACAGAGTTGTATTCACGGGGCTTTCCGTCCAGCAAGAATAAGGTTGGTCTTGCTTAAAACATGAAAGCTTTATTGGATCTGCTAATAAGAATAGTCTTGGTGAGAGTTACCGGAGATAAAACTTCTGACCTGTGGACTTATTACTTAGAATTTTAATGCATTTGATTAAAATTAAGTGTTAACCTTAAATCTCTCCTGTTTTAGAAGTTCAGTGTTTTGGAGGTCAGTATAAGTGTTAGAACATGCACGTGCAGTCACCGATGGCCACCTCCCTCCTGCCGCTGAGATCTCCGTTTCTGTCCCCTGCAGGTTGTGGGTTGGCTATCAGTATGTCATCACCGGCCGGAACCGCTCCTTGGAAGGTCGCTGGGAGGTAGCATTCAAAGGTGAGCCTTTTTGATCTGTCACAAGTGTCGCTGAGTTTGAAACCAGGGGGGCTCATCCTGACTCAGAGAATATTGCTGAGGTCCTCCTCCTCCCTCTCACTCTCACCCAGAGGTGCCTGCACAGGGAATGTGGGGAGAGCAGGGCCCCTCTTGTGGGGGTCTATGGTCCTGGGAGGGCGCCGCAGGGCAGCACGGCCCACAGGTCAGGCCCTGATGGGGCTGGGGCCTTCTCTGGAACCTGTTGTTGCTTCTCACCTTGGCCAGCTTTCTACACTGTCCATCCTCCCTTTAAAGTTAAGGACATTGGGGCATAAGAATGAGCATACAGATGGTGCCACCGGTATGCCAGAGAGGGAAGGACAAGCTTTCTAGGGCAGAGAAGGCCAGAGTTAGAATCCAAAATCTGAAGGAAGCTGTCAGGCAGATAGAGTTAAAATAGAGAGTGTGTGGGTGGTGGTCAGGGATTTGTGCTCAGCTGCTTGGAAATGCCGAGGTAACGTAAAGGAGACGTGGCTGCTGTGGGCAGCAGAGCTCCTGCCCCGACATCCCTCCCCTCCCTTCCCCTCGCCCTGGCACTGGCGAGTTCTGCCGGGCACCCGGCTGTGCCCTCTCCAGTTGCGTGCGCTGAGCCGTGCCGACTGCCTTGTCCCTCGTCAGCCTGCCTCTCAGGCTCTCTTTGGGCCGCTTGAGCTTACTCTTTTTTTTTAATTTTTATTTTTTTACAGAAGTATGCAGGGCCACTGGAGCTCAGATTGAGGTGTTTTCCCCAAACACGTCCCAGTGCTGCCGTTGCTGTCTTCAGCATCTCTGAGAGGACAAGCGAGGAGTACTAGGCCTGGGGACAGGGTTGAGAGGGGTCAGGGCCCCACAGAGGCAGGGCCTGTCCTGGCAGCTGGGATGGAGCAGAGGCATGGGCTGCAGAGCCCAGCGGAGAGGGCCACACCGCTGGCCCCAGTCCTGCCTGGCAGATGCCATCCCATCCCGTGTCCTCTGATAAGCTACTGGGAACTCCAGCCACGTCTGCTTCCCGCCTTTGTGAGTGTGTTGCTCGGTTCCCGCAGGGAGAGCTGACAGATAAATGGCGTCAGGTTTCAGGCCCCGAGCCACAGTGCGCCACGCGGGAGACAAGTCTTCTGATGCTTCTTCCTCTCCCCCAGCACAGCTGCTGGAGGCGAGTCTTTGAAACGGTGCAGTGGTGGGCTAGGCCCTCGCCTCACCCCGCGGAGCGTGGACACTGGTAGTTGAAGAGAGGACATGAGTCTGTGTGGCGGGACAGCGTGTTCTGGAGGAACGGGGGGCCCGGGCCCTCTTCCCTGGAGAGAGGACGGCAGGGGCCTGGGTGGCTCTCAGGGCCGTCCTTGTGTCGGGGCTCCACTGGGGCATCAGGAGAGGGAAGCTATAATTTAGAAGAAGATTTAATGTTGTGCGTAGACACTGCCAGCTGCGCTGATGTGATGCTCCCTGTTCATGCGGCTCAGGCCCCGGTCCAAGGGGCCCCGGGAGGGGCACCCTGAGCACCCGGAGCTCTGCGCGGTGCAGCTTGTGCCTCGCTAACTGGACTTGGGAACCCTGATACTGGGTTTGAGCAGTGGTCACAGAAGCAACCTGTGGCTAGAAAAGATCCTTCTGCCGCTACAGGCCGCTGGCTCCTGACACAGCTCAGCATCACGTGTGGCCCTGGAGTCAGAGAAGCAGAAGAGCACACGCATCCCGAGAATCTCGACGGCGTCCTGCCTTGGGCAGGGGCTCCTAAAAACCTTCAGGGAACAGGGAGGCGGTCTGAACGTGGGCTTCTGGTGGATTCATTTTCTTAGGCGTAGCAACTGTGGTTGTGTGATTTTTGGAGACTCACTCCCGTGTGCAGGAGCGAGAGCCCTGCTGTCTGCAGGGGCATCCCCCTGGAAGGGGCGGAGGAGCCACACGCAGGGGTGGGTCAGTGTTGAGGATGCAATGTACTCTTCTCTGTGTTGTTGTGTATTTTAAAAATTTCCATACTAAAAGCATTTAAGAAGATTTCTGCTAAGAAACTGCAGAGTGAAGAAAATAGTAAAAATACAGGCCAGTGAACAGGAGAGCAGCCAAGCCGGCCCCCCTGTTGCAGGCGCTGCGCCAAGCAGAGTGCAGTGGGTCTGAGGCGTCGGCCAGGGCAAAGGTACCAGAAAGCAGTGGGACTAGATTTAAATCTTCTGCGACTAATGATGAACGCTTCCCTAAGAAGACATCGTGCCTAAGAATAGTAGCTAATGATAATAGGAAGGCCTCACAGTAAGATGTTTAAAAATGTTTATTTCATCTACATCTTGTCAACTTTTTCTTCCGTTTATTTATTTATTTTTTTGAGACAGAGTTTCGCTTTGTTGTCTCAGCTTGAGTGCCGTGGCACCATCCCGGCTCACTGCGACCTCGAACTCCTGGGCTCCAGCGATCCTCCCGCCTCAGCCTCCCGAGTAGCTGGGACTATGGGTGCCACTGTGCCTGGCTAATTTTTCTATTGTTGGTAGAGACAGAGTCTTGCTCTTCGTGAGGCTGGTCTTGAACTCCTGGCCTAAAGTGATCCTCCCACCTCAGCCTCCCAGAGTGCTAGGATTACAGGCATGAGCCACTGCACCCAGCCCTTTTTTTCCCTTAACATATTACGTTATGAGGTTGCCACAGTGGTGCATGAATAACATTGTATACATATTTATTATGCACATATACATTTTAAATTTGGAGTTCATTCCCCTCAGGGGTCCTGTGGGGCTTGGGGGTCGAGCTCTCTGGCCTTTCCCCTGGGTCCATACAAGCCCGTGAGCTGCACCCTGGGGTGCTGAGGCCCTGCAGATCCTGGTGTGCCTTGGAGACAGAGCTGCCACCAAAGGATATGAGGCCAGTGTTTTTATAACATTTGTGCAGAAAGTTTGAAAAAAATTACAGATCCTTATTGTCTAGAGAGAATCATTCACATTTCCCACGTGCCGCCCCCTGGGCCTCCCATCCTTTCTGCCAGCAGTATCACTCTGATTTTTGGTTATTTATACCTGATATTTATTTTAAAACACAAAAGTGGGAACACATAGTGTGTGTTAGTGTGTCTGTGTGTTGTGTGACTTGCTCATTTAAGATTCACTCAATGCCTTTGCCGCATTCGTCCCCGTGTCTCTGCACACACACCGCTGGGCTCACTCGTGTCACTGGTTGGCTGAGATCAGCAGGTACCTGACTTAGAGGGAGTCTTTTCCCCTGGGCTTCTTTTCAGATGTGGCCAGTCCTTCGTGGGCTCCGTCTTCCCTGCCCTGGTGGCAGACCCGAGTGGGGACATGACCATGTTGTAAGGCCCTGGCCTGTGAGGTCAGCAGACAGGGCTGCAGTCCTGGACCAGCCTATGGGACCTTTTGGTCAGCAGGGAGGGAGGGGCCAGGCTGGTCTAGCAGCTGCCAGAAGGCACAGTGCAGAGACCCTGCCTGCTGGGCGAGGTGACCCTCAGATTGGAATGGGGTTAGCTGGGGTCAGGCCGCAGTTCCCAGAGGGAAGACAGCCCCAGAGCGGGGCAGCTGCCTCCATCGTGGCCCGTCGGGAGGATCTAGACAGCCCTGGTGGGCCCTGTGCAGGCTCCATCTGTGGCAGGGCAGGAAGGGGAGGTTCTTTGTGGGTTCATAAAAGTGAGTGAGGGTTCCGCTGCCACAGGAACACGTCTGGAGTGGGGAGGGTTCTCCCCAGCTGAGGGAGCAGGAGCTGACACAGAGGTGGCTGCTGAGGCAATTAGGTGGCATTCAAGTGCCCCTGTGGGTCAGGCTTGGGAGCCTGTGGTTGGCGACAGCCCAGCCCAGCACCCTGCGGCACCACGCCACGCAGCTCCCATGTAGACTAACAGGAGGGGTGTCTGGAAACTCGCTGCCACCCTGTCAAACTGAGGACTGAATCTCCCGTGGTGGCAGTTGTGGGGCTTTGGAGAAGGCACTGCAGATGGGAGATGAACGACACACGCAGTGGCTCCCGGCGGCTAGCCAGGGTGCTTGCAATGCCTTTCTTTCTCCAGGACGGGGGTCCTTCAGGAAGAGTAGGGTGTTGGGTGGGGAGCTGGGCTTGTCCAGGAGGAGGCATTGGCAGGCCCAGGAGAAAAATCTTCAGGAGTCGTCCCCAGTGAAGGACAGTCATCCTCCTGGTTCCTCTTACACCTCACACCATTTCAGATACGTCCAGGATCTTGTCACTTGTCACCAACCTCACAGCCCCCACCTGGACCTGACGCCCTGATTGTCACTCACCCGACTGCCCACCTGGCCCCGGCCCGGTCTCCTCACACAGCTGCCAGAGGGTCCTTTCCTCCCCTGCTCCTGCAGTTCCCAGCTCTCGTTTCTCATGGCAGCCACAGTCCCACTGAGGCCAGCAGCCCCTCACTCTGCCCTCACCGCCACGCCCCGATCTCGTCACCAGCCCTGCAGCTGCCTCGCTCTCTGCCCCCACGGCGAGTCCAGCAGCTTCCCGGGCAGATGCCCTGCACGTGTGTGGATGCAGCTGGCTGCCAGGACAGGAGTATGTCTTTTTCTCTTTTCCCGGAATATTACGGGGGTACAAACGTTTTGGTTACATGATTTGCTTTTGTGCAGTTTGAGTCAAAGTTACAAGTGTGCCTATCACCTAGGTAGCGAGCATTGTACCCATTAGGTGTGAATTTGCCCATCCTCCTCCCACCTGCCTAGTTTCCGTTGAGTTTTACTACCATATGTGCACATGGGTGTTGATCAATTAGTTCCAACTAATCCTCCAACCAATTAGTTCCTCCAGCTGCGTGTGGCTCAGCGGGGCCATGGCACAGTCCTACGTGAACCTCATTTGACCGATTTTCTGAGCCACCCTCTGACTTGGCTCTTCCCTGGTCTAGGCAGCTTGTGGGGGTGGACACCAGGTCCCAGAACTGTGACCTGAGAGGTCACTTGTGGCCTTGGTTGAGCTTTGACGTCACGCGCTGTAGTTGTGCTCATGAGATCTGGGCTGGCAGATAGCCCCAGCACTGAGGGTTTATTTTTTTTTTTTTTGAAGTTTGGGAGGAAGCTGTTCATTTTTCAGCCCATGAGATGAGAAGCCAAGTAATAAAATAGTTTTTAAAAGCAGGAGGGAGGCTACCCAGGTGAAGGGGCGTCTGGGGAGATGGGGGTGTACATGGGCGCTGGGCCTGGTTGGGAAGCGGGGACCCTGCGGGAAAGCAGTGGCAGCACCGCTCGCAGCAGTGGAGATGAGACGTCTCCAGAGAGCCAGCCTCTTCCCTGCCCCTCCTCCACAACCTGACGCACACAGTCGAGGCAGGCAGGACACTGGGGCCCAGGTGTCCCTAGGAAAGGGGGCACAGCTGTGATGGTGGCTGCTGCCAGCCAGGGACAGGCCTTGCAGGCCTCCTGCTCCTGTCATGGTGCCGTGTCTTTGGGCCTGGGACAGGCTGCTTCCAGACTTGGGTCCTGCGGTCTGCAAGCTCTTTGGTTGATGGTCACGTCTGACTCCCCGGCCCCCTCGAGGAATGCACGCGACTCATCTGCTGACGTTGTGTGTGTCTGGCCCCACCTGCCTCCCCCACAGGCTCCTCGGAGGTGTTCCTGCCCCCAGACCCCATCTTCGCCTCGGCCATGTCTGAGAACGACAACGTGTTCTGCGCCCAGCTCCAGTGCTTCCACTTCCCCACCCTGCGGCACCACGACCTCCACAGCTGGCACGCCGAGAGCTGCTACGAGAAGTCTTCGTTTCTGTGTAAAAGAAGTAAGCCTCCTGGAAGGCACGGGGCTCTGAGGCGGAGTCCCTTTCGTTGTGTTGCAGCAGACGCCTCTCCCCAGCTCACACCTTGATCTCGGGGTGTGGGCCCAGCTGGCCTGTCTGCAGCTCTGTGGCCTGGGCGGCTGATCGGCATCTCTGAGCCCACGGCTCTTTCCCAGGATGGAGACCCTAAGTCCCACCTTCCTTGTTTCGCTGCCATTAGGCGATCAAATGGGAATGGTGACCCAGGGACTTGCCAATCCCATGGTATCTCTGGAGCATCTGAGTCTGGCGGTCACCTCTGTCCACTCTCTGTGGATCCTTCTGTGACCCTTCTCTCCACTTCTGTGTCTGCCTTGTCTGGTCTGCTCCTCCTTTCCCGGGTCTGTCCCTGTCCCTCTGCCAACCCACTCACTCAGACTCCTTATCAAGGTCTTATTCAGCTTTGGGGGCTCAAGGCGTGGCTGTGCCCACTGAGGGTGGGGCGCCCACCTCCACCCGTCCTCTGCGATGGGGGACTGGGGCAGAGCCACCTCTGCTGACACAGGGGTCCGGTCTCAGCGCCATTCGATTCCTGCCCACCTGAGTCGGCTGCCGGACTCCAGTTGGGCCCTGGGCTCTGTCGGCCCTGGCAGCAGCGATGAGTCCCGATCAGCGCTGGTGCCAGCTGCCGTGACTCCCCCACCTCGGTTGTGACTATTACGTCGCCTGTTCTTGGCCCTTTTCTCGTCTATATGAATTTTAGGATGAATTTTCTGAATTCCCTTATTCTTTCAGTTTGTGGATTTTGCTAGATTTTCTGTTTATAGAGGGTTGTTTCTTCTTTCAAGTCTTTGACTTTTATTTCTTTGCTTTTTTCCCCAAGTATTAACTTTTCTCACTAAGTTCTTCAGTTCAGTGTCGATTAAAAATGGTGGTAGTGAGCATTCTTGTCTTCTCAACTTAATGAGAATGCTTTTAGCATGTTCTGTGTGTTCTAATGCGTTCTGCAGGGTTTAGAATACGCCTTTATGAGGTTAAGGAAGTACCCTTCTATTCCTACTTTGCCGGGAATATTTATGTTACAAAAATGTGTTGATTTTTATTAAATGCTTTTCGGCATTTATTGGGATGATAGGGTTTTTCTCTAATCTGTTCATTTATTATTTTACATTAATAGGTTTCATGATGTGAAGCCATTTTCATGCGCTTTGTGTTTACATATATATATATGTATGTATATGTATATATCATATTGCTGGATTTGATTTGCTGATACTCTATATTTTTCAAACTCTTTTAACAAGCGAGCTTGGCCTGTTACTTTCCTTTTCTGTACTCTCCTTGACTCGTGTTTGTTAGGGACAGGGT